GCTCATTATTAATTATATACTACGCTGCTTTAATGGGATATTTACACATTTAATGAGAAATTAAACGGAAGAAACATGTCATATTACACCGAACAAAGGAATTGACCACTTAAGGTAAAATGACTTCCAGGCTACTTTCTGTAGGATCGCTTTATTTGATAAAGACTGAAACGTAAACCTGTTTTTATATTAAATAAAGATTTCAGAAATTCTCTAATTTTCATTGAGTTGCACTCAGCGAAACATCGGACCACTAAATTAAAGCAAAGACTTCAAGCTTTTACAACATAAAGAGGTGCGAATTCAGAAATATATATTAGGTTAATGCTTGAATGAAAATAGGTTTTTTCTGTATGACTTTCTGCAAATATACTTGGTGATACATGAAAAGAAGCTAAAACCAACTATTATGACTTCATTTGGAGGTCTGGTGCTTTACGCTTTGGAACTACACTTTACTGGACGTAAACTATTGTTTAGTGATTCAAATATAAATACATATATATATTATATATTTGCATTTCAGCAAATTGTGTCTATTGAAAACAAGCCGATTGAACCGTTAGCAGCTCAGGTTCGGGCCGCGTCTCTGCCTTCGTGCCCATGAGCCTCCAGTGTGGACGCCAGAGGGACACGTCTCAGCCTTTAAGGTCATGGATATAAACATGTGGATCAGATCAGACACGACCTTTAACTGATGGAGAGAAGGGAGATGATTGCAGGGAAAGAGGAAATAAAACGTCACCAAACACACATGAACACACAGGAACGCACACAGGGGGACAGCGGAGTGTGTGTGTGTGTGTGTGTGTGTGTCTGCTGTCACGCCTCAGACGGCTGCATTTCACCTCATGCAGACAAACAAACATTAAATGAATAAATACTAACAGTAATTCTCGATGGTATCAAAGAAGGAAAAGTTGACGGGGAACTCTGGACGAGACCACAGAAGAAGACACGGAGGTGCGAAAGCAGAGAGGGGAGAGAAAGAGGAGATTATTATCGTTCAGCTGTCAGGAGACGAGCAGCGAGGAAACAACACAAAGACGCTCGAGTGCGATTCATCCACAAAGAGTCTGTGTCCACGAAGCGCTTTTTACAGGAAGGTTTTACATCTGGTTGCTATGATACGGAGAGACAACGCCTTCCTCTTTGCTCTCTAACAGACCATGAAGCAGGTGATGCTTTAGGGCGGGGCTTAAAGTGATTGACAGGTCTCTATTAGACCATGACACAGGTGATGCTTTAGGGCGGGGCTTAAAATGATTGACAGCTCTCTAACAGACCATGACGCAGGTGATGCTTTAGGGCGGGGCTTACTGTGATTGACAGCTCTCTAACAGACCATGAAGCAGGGGACGCTTTAGGGCGGGGCTTACTGTGATTGACAGCTCTCTGACAGACCATGACGCAGGGGATGCTTTAGGGCGGGGCTTAAAGTGATTGACAGCTCTCTAACAGACCATGAAGCAAGGGATGCTTTAGGGCGGGGCTTAAAATTATTGACAGCTCTCTAATAGACCATGAAGCAGGTGATGCTTTAGGGCGGGGCTTACTGTGATTGACAGCTCTCTAACAGACCATGAAGCAGGTGATGTTTTAGGGCCGGGCTTAAAGTGATTGACAGGTCTCTAACAGACCATGAAGCAGGGGATGCTTTAGGGCGGGGCTTAAAGTGATTGACAGCTCTCTAACATGCACGCTTCATATTTTAAGTCCACTAAGCTTTCCTTTATAAAGAGAGGAAATCGTTGAATAAAAGACCTGCGTCCTGATTCACAGCGGTTTGGTGGACACGTTGTCGCTGGTGTTGGTTCCAGCAGGACGGTGGAGAAACGTACCTGGCTGTGAGTTTCTGTCGTTGAGCAGCTTGGTCTGACTGTTGGGCAGGATCTTAATCTCTGGAGGATCTGGACTGTGACCGACCCGCGACGCCATGAGAGCGTTCAGGTACTGGAGACGAGTCACCTGCCAGCGTCGTGCAGCGATTAGTGGGTTAGTGCACGTTCATTAATGTCACTCTAATATAAAACCACTTCAACATTTTAACAACACGCCTCTTCTCAACCAATCAGAATCGGCTACAAATGAGGAGCAACAAAGTGTTTCTGTTTTCCTGTTAAATGAGACGTTTCCTGAAGGGACCCTGGTGCTCAGAGGCAACACCGCTTCAGTCCACAGGGGGCGCCAGAGCACAACACGCTTCCTTTACTCGACTTTTAGCGATTTTATCAATTCGTTGTTGCAGCCCTAGTATTTAGATTGTTGTACTTTAGTGAAAAGTACCACGAAAAAGTACTATGAACACTGTGAATGAGTTGAGAACTCAAAGGCTGAGAACACACACACGCACGCACACACACACGCACACACAATGAGTCAGCACAACATCTGCTGTCCTGCTTCTTCTTCTCCTCCTTTTTGAACCTCGGTTATGGAAACACGGAGTGAATAAAGCTACGTCATCACGATCAAACGGACAAACCGAGTGATTCTTGTCTCGCGACGAATCGTTATTCATTCATAAAATACAACAACGCGTCATCAACGTTGAAGCCGTCGCGATGACGTCACCATGAAGGAGATCAATAGTCCTCCTGCTCACCTGAAGAGGGCAGCGTCAGCGCGGACACGCCGTAGTACGTGAACGCTCCGTTCTCGAACTTCAGCCCCCTCCTTCCCGATCTCCACCTCCACGCGACCCTGAGCACCGCAAACAGGAAGCAGCCAGAGGTCACGTGACGGCGCTCCACGTCTTCTTCCTGCCGCTCTGTGGGACGGACGAGCAACGGGCCCTCAGAGGCTCTCAGAGGCTCACTGACCTGCAGCAGCAGGATGAAGTAGTCCACCGGGTGGTTTGCGCGTGTACAGGTAGTGAGCCGCGCTCAGCCGGTTGTTCGGGTCGAAGGGAACCTCCTGGTTGACGCTGGGGTGACGCAGCAGGTGGAACAGGACCTTCTCGGACATGCGCCCGGGGCTGAAGTGAGCCACCTCTGTGGGGGGGGGGGCAGGAGACACGGGCAGCGACGTGAGGTACAATGTCGGGACAAACGGCTTCTTCACTCTTAGAATAAGCAACATGGAACGTAATCATTACGCGTGTGGAGTGAAACTGTGACCGAGTCCATCAGCGCGTGACGCTTCAGTCCAATAAGTTATCAATCAACTGCTACATGCAAGTTCTGCTTCTTCTTCTAAAAGAATAGTCACAGAAATAACAAAAAAGCTGCATGCAGGATTTGTTCACTCGTGAGATAAAAGGGAATCTTCCTCGTCATCCTCGGCATGTTTGGTGGCACTTGGCGTTCCGAGGGAGGGAACCGCCGGGCGAAGCGAGTCCAGTCCAGATCCACCTCAAGACGTTACTCCTGTGATGAAAAGAAATGTAAAAAGGTTCAGTAGAAGATCTTTTTATCAACGGTATCCCTGCTTTGTTTACCTTTTCTTTTTGACTAAGGAATGGAACCATAGTCAAACATACACATCTGTACACACAGGACCCAAAACATCAGGTAACAGACTCTTGCTTTTGGTCTCTGATGCTGAACAATTCTGCCTGATTCCCACAGCTGTCTGATGACAATCCAGTTTATTTCGCCCGTCTGAGTGGGAAGAACATCAGACAGCAACCATTTATTTTCTTTAAACATTGTTATCATTTACTCTGCTGTTTTTTGTCTTTAACTTGTTTAATGGTTTGACTTTATAAGTTCTGCCGTATAATAGTAACCCAACTATTTTCCATTTGAGCTATTTTCTTTAATTTTTATCCAATTGTACCATTTGTTCATTCCATCAGTCCTGTTGACACACAGTGAATAAAAGCAATCTTTCTCCTCCAGCTCTATTACATTTCCTATCAGGACTAATTAGGATTTCAGAGAGGGGAAATTGAAAAAGAAAAATCCCTTCATCCCGTGTTTTGTCTGCCGTGGTTTACGATTCACCTGTAATTCAGGAGAGAGGGCTAGCGCGGATCGTGGCACCGGCAACTCGCTGAGGCACTTCCTGTTGCAGGTTGCGGCGCCGCGGCGAATCGTGGCAACTGCCTCCAGTTTACGGCAACTGCCTCGCCTGTTGCCTCGGCTGAGTGAGGTACCTCGAGCGGTACCACGAATTCAGGGGCCGGTTCATCGGTCGAGAGGTACCTCGAGTTAAAGGAGTCTTGCAACGACCAAAGGGAGCGGTGCCTCGGCTGATAGACGTACCGGGAGTTTAAGGGAGAGGTGCCGCGGCTGTTTCCGTTCATTTTAGTATTCATATGTATGCAACATGTGACGGTATAATACAGTTTGAGTACGACTGTTATCTGCAAGTTGAGTTGCCGTGGCGAGTCGTGGCAGCGGCCACAACTTCACGACAGCTGCCTCGACTTTGCGGCAATGATGCCTCGACTGTTGCAGTTTTCTTTTCATATTTTGACAAAATGTGACAATACTATCCTGTACTATGCTGTACTCTGTCCTTAAGAGTACGAGTGTTGTTGGTTGTAATTGGTTTAGTCATAAAACGCCGATAAGTGATGCAATAGCTCAGCTAAGCTAATATGGGCTAAGACCACTCGTTGCCTTGGTTACGATAACCACTTTCCGGCAGCGCCCCGAATGAATGCAAATTGTAAATATTGATGCATTGTAACGTTGAAACTATTGAGAAGTGCTGAAAGCTTTTTGTATGTGTGTGTATATATATATATATAATTAGTTATATAATATAGTTATATTACAGTTCATTCAAAGGCCTAATCTTTTCCTCAGTGCTGAAGACACGTCAGGAAGTGACAGAAAGCAGTGTTAAGAAATGTTCAAATCGTTGCAGTACAAAACCAAGACACAATTACAGAGATGATTTTGAGCACATTTATTTCTGCATTAAAAAACAAAGCAGAGATTATTTTATTTCACCCACTAGTAATATTATATATTTTTGTCAAGAGTACTAGGCTTAAAACAAAACTGTTCATTTTTTACGGACTTATCTGCAGAAATCATTCAGCGCATTCACAAAAGAACAGAACTTGATTTATGCGTTGCATTCATGCACAGTAAACACAATGGACGTGAAAAAACACCATATAGATGAATCTAGTGATTCTTTAATAAAACACTTTTTAAATGTTTGTCTCCCTAGTAAACAATAAAAACTGTTTATAGCATGATATTGTCATGAACCAGGTACCTTCCTCTTTTTCCTTTCCACCCCTTTCTTGTAATTTACACACACTCGCACCCCCCCTTCACACACACACACACACACACACACACACACACACACACACACACACACACACACACACACACACACACACACACACACACACACTTAATTACACCTGCTCATTCATTCCCAGCTGCTTCTCATTCTCTCATCTCATCATCCTCTCTTCCTGCTTCCTCTAATTAGACACTATTTCTAGCCTCCCTCGTCCCCTTGTTCTCCAGCAGAGCGTTACCTGTGCACCCGACGTACCTGAGCTCGCTGTCCCGTATCGCCTGCCTTGTTGTGTCCTGACGGTTCGTGCTGAACTATTATTGTCCCGTTGCTAACCTCTGCTTTACCCAGCCTCCTGTTTGACGTGAGCTGCCTGCTGTCTGGTGCGTCTCCCTCGGCCTGGACCTCGTTCTCTGCTCACTGGGCGTCACCGTTGCCGGCCAAACGCCCGTATTCTTCTGTTTGTGTGTTTGTGTTCATTAAAACACTTTACGTTCCCTTGCGTTTGGGTGGTCGCTTCTTCACAAGCACAACAGATATAGTCAAAAGGAAATAAATAGCATTTAAAGAATGTCATTTTTCCTTTTAGGTAACATCCATCATGAAGGTACTGTCTGTTGCCTGATCATGAGACAATATAGAATAAGGTTAATACTTTAATCCAGCAGCTTTTGTGCGATCACTGGATATCTAAAAACACTCATGCACACAATCACGCTCAGGCAAATTCTTTTGTCAACAATTGTAGTCAACATTAATTTAAATGAAAATACTGGTAACTGATATTATATACCGACATTCAATTTTAGACACGTCTTGATGGCACCCACCCAGTGTTATTGTTTGTTCATATAATCACATACGCATTGATTAGTTCTCGAAGTAGAGATTGTAACCAGGGCGGCAAGTGATCTCAGTCCATATTCGCTTAGCTGCACTAAAATGGGAAGCCGTTGTATCACTTATTGGCTTTTATTACTAAAATAACTACCAACACTAGTACTTTTAAAGGCAGTATTGTATTGTCACATATTGGCAAAATTATAAAACAAACATATCACATATTTGGGAAATGAAACTGTCTGGCGCAAAGTCGAGGCAGCTGTCGTAAAAACGGCAACCGCCGAGGCGCCACTGCGGCAAAGTTGAGGTAGCTGTCGTGAAGCCGCGGCAACTGCCTCGACTTCGTGGCAACTGCCTCGTGAAATCGTGGCAACTGCCGCAGTGTGAGGCACTTGCCACGATTCGCCGCGGCACCGCAACCTGCAACAGGAAGTGCCTCGGCGGGTTGCCAGTGCCACGATTTGCGCTAGTTCCTACTGTAATTCAGGCTCCTCGGGACACAACCCTCAGTCTCCAGTTCTCAGCACTAAAACGCATAAAAATGAATATTTCGCAGTATCAGAGTTCAAACCTTGTCAGAACAAGAAAGTAACCACTAACTTCAAAGATAAACATTTGCAAAACCGAGATCTAGAGACAAAGACGATATATCTTGGGTCCGGTTTGCTATAAAAGATCTCGTCACTTCTCCTCTCTCAAGCAGATCCTGGCCTCTCAAACTACCCACGACGGAATAGCGCCTTTGATCAGGAGTCCCTTACCCACCGTACCGTCCAAACCTTGAGTGAGTCAAGGTGATCAAGAAGATCTTGAGATCCGCCTCCAAGGACCACATGTAAGAAGGATGTTACTCGACACCGTTGTGAAATCATTGTACATGACATTTATTCTCAGGAACACCATGTCTCAGTTCAAGAGGTCACAGACCTTCTGTCCACTTACAACGGACCTTATTTTCAGACCATCAATACAGACAGAAGTGGAAGCAGGGAGGAATGTGATCAGGGCTTGTTTCTCTGGAGCCTCGGCTTGTTTCCACATTATAAGGGAGGACAGTGGTGTATCCTGACACGTTGATGGCATCGTGGTGGGTGCCAATTATTGATCATCCACCGCCAACAGTGCACGAGGAATAAAATAAAATATAATGCGATGGCTATTAGTAGAGTAAGGTTATGGGTTAGTTTAAAATAAAAGCTAAAGTTAGAAAATATCAAAAAATAAAGTGCAACAGGAAGTGACAAAAGTGACGAGTAAAAAGTGACGTGTGCAGTGTGAGGGGGAGTAACAAGTGGAGTGTTATAGTCAGTCAGTGGGGGACCGGCTCTGTTGATGAGCCCGACTGCCGATGGGAAGAAACTGTTCGTGTGGCGGGAGGTCTTAGTCCTGATGGACCTCAGCCTCCTGCCAGATTGAAGGGGCACAAACAGGTTTTGTCCGGGGTGAGAGGGGTCGGCTACCATCTTTGTAGCTGCTTCAGAGACCTGGAAGCGAACAAGTCCTGCAGGGACGGCAGATTGCAGCCGATCAGCCTCTCTGCAGAGCGGAGGACACGCTGCAGCCTGCCCTTGTCCTTGGCTGTGGCTGCAGCATACCAGACGGTGATGGAGGAGCAGAGAATGGAATCCATGATGGCCGTGTAGAAGTGGACCATCATCGTCTTTGGCAGGTTGAATTTCTTCAGCTGCCTCAGGGAGAAAAAAAAAGAAGAAGAAGAAGAAGTGACAACAACCACAGTTCACCCGACAAACCGTCAACGCCGGTTCACTTTCCTCATCAACGAAAAAGGGCCAAATCCCCAAAAAGCCGCTGCAATTCCCCCACTCCATCACCCAGGACAAAGACATCAGCCTCCCAACCTCGTCCCAACTATTGCCGTCTTACCACACGTAGCCAGACGCTTCGTCTCCACGCTCTGGTGAGATCCCCAGAAATCCAGCCTCCACCAACCTCCAACTGGAGAGTTGCAACGGTGCAAAAAGGACTAAAGGAAAATTAAATCCCTTTCCTCCACTTTTTGATCTACTTATGTTAAACCGCTGTGGATAACATGTTGCCACCAAAAAAAATCAAAAGAACACATAAAGAAAAATCAATAGTAAAAATATATATTTTCTTTCTTTACTTCCTCCAGATTGTTTTGACAGTGGCGGTTTTATCCATCTTGGGTGACGGGTGAGAGGGGATTGTGAATGTTCTTTACTGGCTTTTTTTACCCACAATCCTTTGCACAGCAGATGTACGAGCCAGAGGGTTCAAGGTGCAATGTGATGAGGAAGTAGAATCCTTCATGTAACAACATGTACTTTGTGAGGAAGCTGCAGTTTGTCATAAAGGTAAATGATTCAACACGCAGCTTCACACTGATACGTGGGTGAGTTGTTCCGCCCCGACAGGTTCAACCTGATCATCAAAGAGGAGTGAAGAATAAAAACACTCTGAGCTCAGACTCTGTTGTCTTAGTGGATGTTTTTATTCAATATAAACTCTTCACAAGATTTGTTACAAAGGATTCTGCTTCATCACGTGTTCCCTACTAGTCTACATGTAGAAGAAGACCAGGAGACAAAGAGGGGCGTGCACGGGTCCTCTGGACCATCTGGTCCAAACTACAGCATCCAGTCTGTTGCCATAGCAACTCTTTACAAGGTGAAAGGATCGTTCCACTGATGCTGGTTTTGATCCTAAAAGACTCTTGTTCGAGCAGTGAGGAGGATTCTGTTCACCTTTGACCCTTGAACAGCTCAGACTGAGACTCAGTCAACGAGTCAGACTGCATACTTTGATGGTGACGTGAGGACGCACCCTTTCTGATGAAGGACAACAAGCTCCAACAAGCTGCGTCACTTCACTCCGTCTGATGGAAGCTGAAGTGAAGCACGGAGCTGCTTTTCTACACGGACCTGCTGAGGACAGAAGAGAGCTGCTCACTGAGGAAGTTCATGTCTACAAGGTCAGTAAGTGCAGCTGTGATTGGTTGAATGACATCATTGATGCTTGTGAACGTGTGATTGTTTAAAGCTGGGAAACAAGATGGCGCCTGTGTGAGCAGGCAGAGAGGAGCTGCTGTTAGTCTGAATGATGACGCTGTGATGAAGAAGAGGAGCTCAGTCTGATCTGGGGTCTGTGAGGACTGTTACTGATGAGGAGGGGAAGGTAGCAGACGGGGGCACTAGGACCCAGCAGGGACCACAGGGCTCACCTGGGCCTTTGTTCTTGAAACACACCTGACAGACGCTCTGTTTGCTCCACAGAACACATCTAGTCACTTTTTAGAGTGTTTGACTGTTACCGATGAAGAGGGGAAGGTAGCAGACGGAGGGGCACGATATATTATTTATTTACATTCGAGGTCTTATATTTTTCAGTTGAAGATTTTATGTTTTCGGATACAAATGTTTTTGACTTTTGGCCCTGATATGGCTCAGGGGGCGTGGCATCAGCTGAAATGGGCGTGTCATCATGATTGACAGCTTAACAAAGAAGGCTGAAAACCTTCCTCAACGCGTTGCCTTCATGAAATCTGGAATTATGAATAAACACTTTTAGTCACCATATTCACTTATTTAGTTCTATCAACCTCAAACTGCTTCATATTTCTAATCTTGATGAAACACGACCTTTCAAACAGAGTCGTGCCCCCAAAGACATTATAGCACCTAATGCACATCCTTAATACGTAAATATATATATATATTATCTTTACTTGTTGGAGAGGAAGTGCAGATAAGCCGTTCATAGATCAGACATCAGGACTCCTGATCGTAACCACACCCACAATGGAGAAAAACCCGTTCACACACACATCTACACGTGTACTAACACACAAACACACACCCATCTGGTACGACTGGTTTGCCTCATGTTGGAAAATACCTCAAGTCAGAGGGTTCAAGTTGTTTTAGCCGTTCCAAATATCCACTGTGGGTTCCTTCAGTCAAAGACGTCCTGCTCTCTGCGACAAGCTGTCGGATGACTGGACGTCCTTCACATGTGTCCGCATTCAGAAAGCAAGCTCACACGTATCTGCTGTCACATGCTTGTGGTTCATCACTGTGTGTGTTTAGCTGTTCCTGTTTGATTGTGTTTATATCGCTATACACCATGTTCACGTGATCGGGTGGAGCCGACTCCATCACATGGATGCTACGCTGCGTTCACAGTGGTTCAGAGTGTCAAACGTGGTTGTTGAACGCTACTATCTGAGTTTATTGCTCTTATTCTGTGATTCGTGTTTAAACAGCTCGCTAAGTAGAACTTTGTCACTGGTGTAAATTGTCTTACTGCCAATCACGTGAATGTGGTGTATAGAAAGTGTGGATTCATAATTACCACAGTGCCTACGCTTCCTGAAGGCAACACGGTTGAGGAAACTTTTCAGCCTTCTTTGTTAAGCTGTCACTCATGATGACACGCCCCTCTAGGGTGATGCCACGCCCCCTTATCAGGGCCAAAAGTCTGATAGTGAAAAAACGATTGAACAGTTGAATCGGAAAATATGAAATCTACAACTGAATAATGAAAGGAACCTAAATATCTCTAGCTATATATATAAAATAATGTGATTATATATCTAGAAAATAATGAAAATAAATATATATAGAAAATAATGTGATTATGTATCTAGAAAATAATGAAAATAAATATTTTGTAAGGGTTAGGGTAAGGGTTGTTCAGTCTGTTCAGTTCTGAATTATGTTGTCTTGTGCAACATATGTGGTTATACATCAACATAAGTTGTAAGAATCCTCAATATATTTCTCAATAAATATAATGGGTAGATCATTTTGACTTGGTCATTTCAAAAGCGTCCGCTCAATGACATGTAATGTAATGTAACTGTTACCTGAACAACTCAACCAGCTCCACCCAAGTGAAACAGAGTTATTAAGAAGTATTTAAAAGTCCACATTAGAAAACTCCTTGGTGGATCCACACACACACACACACACACACACACACACACACACACACACACACACACACACACAGACACACATGCAAGCAGGCTTCTTTACTGGCTTTTTTTACCCACAATCCTTTGCACAGCAGATGTAGGAGCCAGAGGGTTCAAGGTGCCATGTGATGAGGAAGTAGAATCCTTCATGTAACAACATGTACTTTGTGAGGAAGCTGCAGTAAATGATTCAACACGCAGCTTCACACTGATACGTGGGCGAGTTGTTCCGCCCCGACAGGTTCAACCTGAAGTGGAGAGAAGAATAACTGCTCAAAAAAAAGAAAATGGCCAACTGTCTGTCTGTTATCAGTGAAAAACGCAATATTTTAAGAAAGCATCAGCATTTGTGTGCATTTCGATGGCATTTCTAGCGAGAAGTCTGCGTTATATTTTCATAATCTTCTATCAGAGAACGTAGACGACCTTCCGTTAATTAGTTTCTAGTGACGTAGTTGCAAGGCGATGTAAATGAATGGGCCAAATAAAACGTAGTATTGTCACGATTTTGGAGAGAAAGCGTGACAATACCACGTTCCACAGCTACACGTTTTGCTGTGAGACTGGTTGCGAATAAAAACACTCTCAGCTCAGACTCTGTTGTCTTAGTGGATGTTTTTATTCAATATGAACTCTTCACAACATTTGTTACAGAGGTTTCTGCTTCATCACGTGTTCCCTACTAGTCTACATGTAGAAGAAGACCAGGAGACAAGGAGGGACGTGCACCAGTCAGACTGCATACTTTGATGGTGACGTGAGGACGCACCCTCTCTGATGAAGGACAACAAGCTCCAACAAGCTGCGTCACTTCACTCCGTCTGATGGAAGCTGAAGTGAAGCACGGAGCTCCTTTTCTACACGGACCTGCTGAGGACAGAAGAGAGCTGCTCACTGAGGAAGTTCATGTCTACAAGGTCAGTAAGTGCAGCTGTGATTGGTTGAATGACATCATTGATGCTTGTGAACGTGTGATTGTTTAAAGCTGGGAAACAAGGTGGCGCCTGTGTGAGCAGGCAGAGAGGAGCTGCTGTTAGTCTGAACGATGACGCTGTGATGAAGAAGAGGAGCTCAGTCTGATCTGGGGTCTGTGAGGACTGTTACTGATGAGGAGGGAAAGGTAGCAGACAGGGGGGCACTAGGACCCAGCAGGGACCACAGAGCTCACCTGGGCCTTTGTTCTTCAAACACACCTGAGAGACGCTCTGTTTGCTCCACAGAACACATCTAGTCACTTTTTAGAGTGTTTGACTGTTACCGATGAAGAGGGGAAGGTAGCAGACGGAGGGGCGCTATATATTTTTTATTTATTTTTGAGGTCTTATATTTTTCAGATATTTTTGGATACAAATGTTTTTGACTTTTGGCCCTGATATGGCTCAGGGGGCGTGGCATCAGCTGAAAGGGGCGTGTCATCATGATTGACAGCTTAACAAAGAAGGCTGAAAACCTTCCTCAACGCGTTGCCTTCATGAAATCTGGAATTATGAATCAACACCTTTAGTCACCATATTCACTTATTTAGTTCTATCAACCTCAAACTGCTTCATATTTCTAATCTTGATGAAACACGACCTTTCAAACAGAGTCGTGCCCCCAAAGACATTATAGCACCTAATGCACATCCTTACTACGTAAATATATACATATTATCTTTACTTGTTGGAGAGGAAGTGCAGATAAGCCGTTCATAGATCAGACATCAGGACTCCTGATCGTAACCACACCCACAATGGAGAAAAACCCGTTCACACACACATCTACACGGGTACTAACACACAAACACACACCCATCTGGTACAACTGGTTTGCCTCATGTTGGAAAATACCTCAAGTCAGAGGGTTCAAGTTGTTTTAGCCGTTCCAAATATCCACTGTGGGTTCCTTCAGTCAAAGACGTCCTGCTCTCTGCGACAAGCTGTCGGATGACTGGACGTCCTTCACATGTGTCCACATTCAGAAAGCAAGCTCACACGTATCTGCTGTCACATGCTTGTGGTTCATCACTGTGTGTGTTTAGCTGTTCCTGTTTGATTGTGTTTATATCGCTATACACCATGTTCACGTGATCGGGTGGAGCCGACTCCATCACATGGATGCTACGCTGCGTTCACAGTGGTTCAGAGATTCAAACGTGGTTGTTGAACGCTACTATCTGAGTTTATTGCTCTTATTCTGTGATTCGTGTTAAAACAGCTCGCTAAGTAGAACTTTGTCACTGGTGTAAATTGTCTTCCTGCCAATCACGTGAATGTGGTGTATAGAAAGTGTGGATTCATAATTACCACAGTGCCTACGCTTCCTGAAGGCAACACGGTTGAGGAACCTTTTCAGCCTTCTTTGTTAAGCTGTCACTCATGATGACACGCCCCTCTCGGTTGATGCCACGCCCCCTTATCAGGGCCAAAAGTCTGACAGTGAAAAAACGATTGAACAGTTGAATCGGAAAATATGAAATCTACAACTGAATAATGAAAAGAACCTAAATATCTATATCTATATAGAAAATAATGTGATTATTTATCTTGAAAATCCATCCATCCATCCATTGTCAAACCGCTTATCCTGCACACAGGGTCGCGGGGGGCTGGAGTCCATCCCAGCCAACTTCGGGCGATAGACAGGGTACATCCTGGATTGGTCGCCAGCCCATCGCAGGGCTACACAGAGACAGACAACCATTCACACATCTATGGGCAATTTAAAGTCGCCAACTGACCTGATCCCCAGAGCATGTCTTTGGACTGTGGGAGGAAGCCGGAGAACCCGGAGAGAACCCACGCAGACACGGGGAGAACATGCAGACTCCACACAGAAAGGCCACTTGGTGGAATCAAACCCAGGACCTTCTTGCTGTGAGGCGACGGTGCTAACCACCACGCCACCGTGCCGCCCTATCTTGAAAATAATGAAAATAAATATATATAGAAAATAATGTGATTATTTATCTAGAAAATAATGAAAATAATTTTTTTATAAGAACTAAATCATCTTAATTTTATTTTACAGTTTTTTTCAAATCTCGAAAGATCAAAAGCTTTGTCCTGGATTTGGCTCCATATACTTCCTGCTTCATGATTAGTTTGATTATGAATTGAGTTTGTTTGATGAATACAAATGACACGGCATTTCTGTTGTTGCAGGTGAAGTTGTGAACCACCTTCACACTTCCCCAATATTCACAGATTCATCCTACTTGGTTTCAACAAAGAGGACGCTGACTTCATCA